GTGTCCCGTTTGCCCGTCCTCCTCCTATTCAGGGGGCCCCGTCAACTACACGCGGTAGGCGAAGAAGATTTGCCCACAGAGGGTGCACGATCGAAAACGAAGATTGCGGGCAGGAGGAGGAGGAGGAGGAGGAGGAGGAGGAGGGGGAGGAGGGAGGAGGAGGGGGAGGAGGAGGAGGGGAGGAGAGAGGAGGAGAGGAGAGGAGGGTTTGGGGTCCTGGATGCCGAACGACAAGCGAGCAACGAAGAGAGCGAACAACACTGAACTTATCCGTAGTGCTATCGTGCTCACCCTCCTCCCCCTCCTCGTCCTCCCTCCCTCCTCTCCTCCTCCTCCTCCTCCTCCTCCTCCTCCGCCTCCTCCTCCTCCTCCTCCTCCTCCTCCTCCTCCTCCTCCACTCCTCCTCCTCCTCCTCCTCCTCCTCCTCCTCTCCTCCTCTCCTCCTCCTCCTCCTCCTCCTCCTCCCCTCCTCCTCCTCCTCCTCCTCCCACCCGCGACCCAGCCGCGACCCTTCCGCGACTCTGCCGCGACCCACCCGCGACCCACACGCGCCCCCGCCCGCACTGTTCTGACAAAGAACATCCACCTGTGGTGGGCTCCCTGCGCACCATGACAAGTAGAGGCGCTTGCGGCGGGCTCACTCAAGACTGCCCAGACTGCCTTAAAGGCGTGCTTCCGAGCCCTTCAGACTAGCGACGACCCCCTGCCTCGGCGGTGGACAAACCTCCCTCTAGTAAACCTCCACTTAGTGAAAACGGCCTAGGACCAAAACCAACGGACCTGGACCCGCAAAAATGACGGCCGCGACGCCCTCTCGCGAACCGAGAACGGCCAATTCGCTAGTCGACGTGTCAGGGCAGAAGGACTATCAACCTCCGACTGCACCTCTTCATTCCTATCCGCAACCACGGGGGCTGCAGAACATGACGAATGAGGCCTGAGCTCCCCTCCGCCTCCCCCCCGCCCCCCTGCCTGAGTTATGCTGTTCCCACCGTGCTCCAAGAGCACCCAGGATAATACCGAAACTGTGTCTGCCCGACACGATGGCGAGGTGTCGAACTAGCATCGCCCCCTAGGGACCCACACGCGAAGACCATCCAGTTTCGGGTGCTCTCCTGGTGCTCGAAATTCTTTCTGGCGATCGAGGCTAAAGTAGGTTGGAGCATCGGAATGCCTGGGGAGGATGAGAAGAGGAGGAGGAGGAGGAGCAGCAGCAGCAGCAGCAGCAGCGGCAGCAGAGCGAGCAGGAGGGAGGGGGAGGAGGGAGGGAGGGAGGGAGGGAGGAGGGAGGGAGGTGGAGGAGGAGGAGAGGAGGAGCAGCAGCAGCAGCAGCATGGGCAGCAGAGCGAACAGGAGGGAGGGAGGGAGGGAGGTGGAGGAGGCCCAAGAGAGGCCTGCGCTCCTCCTCCCCCTCCGCCCGGAAGGGGAAGAGGACAGGGGGGCCCTGCTCCAGGGAAGGGGAGGGGAAAAGAGGAGGAGGAGAGGAGGGAGGAGGAGGAGGAGGAGCGGAAGAGGAGGAGGAGGGGGAGGAGGAGGAGAGGGAGGAGAGGCGGAGGAGGAGAAGGAGGAGGAGGGGCGGAGGAGGAGGAGGAGGAGGAGGAGGAGGGAGGATGAGGAGGAGGAGGAGGAGGGAGGAGGAGGAGGAGGAGGAAGGGGGGACACCGACCAGGCATCGGCGACGCGTCGCCGGCAGATCGGCCGTGGCCTCTCGACGGTGCAGCCGCACGGCCCTCGGGCGCGGGTGGGCCGTCGAGGCCCCTCCTGGCGACGACTGGGCGCTTGGGCCCATCCCTTCCCCCTGGCGTAGCCCCTGATTGGGCGCCCGAGTTATCCGGGTTAACTCGGGTCCAGGGTGACGCGGGTCTGGATTCTCGAAAAACGAACCCGAGTTAGCCCTGACCCGAGTTACCCCTGATGATTTGGGGCTCTGGATGCCCGAGTCATCCGGGGTAACTCGGGCCCCGGGTAACTCGGGTTCGGAATCTCGAAAAGCGAACCCGAGTTAGCCCTGACCCGAGTTACCCCTGATGATTCGGAGCTCTCACCTGATCCTCCCCCTCCCTCGTCCAGTGATCGTCGTCGTCCGGTTGATGTTGAGACCGTCCCGGCATTCCTAGAGGCCTACCACGACATGTTCTTAGAATCCAAACATTGTTCTAAGAACCCAAACAACGTTCTTAAAACCTAAAACCGACGCCTTGAAACACGACAGCCCCGGCCAGAAATGTTCTAAGAACATGTCGTGGAAACCACAGAACGTTCTTGGAACAGTATGTGGTAGGCCTTTAGGCGAGCCAGGACGCTTCGCCACTGCTTGCTGCTGGGCCATTGTGAAGAGGCCCTGGGACACACAAATAAATACACACAAATAGAAGGATCCCCCATATTTTCCATATTTTCTGCGTTTTTGTCTTCCCCCCCACTTCCCACATTGTCCCATATTTTCCTGGGAGTCGACGATTAATTGTGTCTGTGTGTTTTTCCCCTCCTGACATTGCTCGCACCGCCGGCGGCCGATCTCCGGACGAGGCGGGCACCCCCGGGGAGCCACCTCGGCGAGGCGCGGCCGCTGGAGGGCCCCGCCCGCGGCTGGAGAGCCGCCGAGAGCCGGCAGCAACGCCCGAGAACCTCGAGCCTCGAAACCTCGCTGCCCCCCCCTCCCTCCTCCTCCTCCTCCTCCTCCTCCACCTCCTCCTCCTCCTCCTCCTCCTCCTCCTCCTCCTCCGCCTCCTCCTCCTCCGCCTCCTCCTCCCCCGGTGAGGGCCATCGTCGGCCTCACCTGTGAGGACCGCCGTTGGCCTCACACCCCGAGCCCGGCGGCGAGCGAGGGAGGGAAGTGAGAGGGAGAAGGCCCTCTCAGAAGGCGGCGGGACTTCTCCGAAGCCCTTGCGCGCCGTATGACAGCTTTTTTTGTGCTTTCGGGACAGGCCCAGAAAACTTCTCAAAAGGCCACGGGACTTTCGAACCTTCTGAGAAGGCCTTCGCCTTCTCACTTCCCGCCCACCTCCGCTCGCCGCCCACTAGCAGCTTCCGTCATTGGGGCTGCCAAGGTCCCGCTCCCACCAACAACCTCATGCCGTGCACTGGAGAGGGCCGAGGCCCTCCCTGCGGTCCCTCGGCCAACGAAGACGGCCGTGGGAAGGGGTGCAAACGTGATCCACGACTCGGCGGCGCGCACAAGGGGGTAGGGGGTCCACAGACAGGGCCCGCGCCTTCTAAGTAGCAGGGGTGCTACCAAGAAGCCTTCCCGCCTCCCCCATGCCCCCACCCTCAGCGCGTGGCTGCGCAACTTAAACCTTCTTGACCTCAAGGCGCCAACTGCCACCATCTGCTGCTTCCCTCCTTGCGGGGGAGGGGTTGGCCGCACGGAAGGGGTACGGAAAACATGAGCACGGTGCGCAACGATTAACGCTGTCCAAAACCGACAGCGGCCACTGTTGGGCAGGCAGCCTCCTGTCTCCAATAGACAACGTCCGAGTCGACGCCGACAGCGAACCATGCTTAGAATGAACAAAACTAGAGGCCTCCTAGATGGGGTCGGGGGATCGCGCCGCATCGCCGATACAACGGCGATGCATCGTCGACGTCGGCGATGCATCCGCGGCGCCAGCATGGAGAATATCGGGCCCCACTTCGAGCCGCATCGGCGATGCAACGGCGATGCGGCGCGATCCTCAGACCCCATCTACTCCGACCCCATCTAGGATAAGACGAAGCCAGGACGAGGAAAAGCTCGGGGGTGGGCAAATCGAGAATCGCAAAGATCCGGCGGCTCTGGAGGATGCTTCGGGCGCCGCGGCCCTCTCAGAGCGTTCCGAAGCGCTCTGAGAGCGTTCTAGAACGCTCCAGAACGGATTCGTCCTCGTCCTGGCCACGTCCGACAGGAGGCCTACAAGAACTGCTGCCGGTCTTCGCACCCACTCTACAGTAGGAGCTCGACCTCAAGAAACATTCCACCAGAACCCAACCCTGAGACCCTGGGACGGCCATCGAGTTCTGGTGCGGGCAAGTCACGCTCTCCGCCGCAAAATCCTCGAGACCCCGGAAACCCAGTGCACCCTGGTGGCAAGCAGGGCGATTCCTGGCGTGGGTTTCCCCCCCAGACATGCGACGTCCCGTTTTTTTCTGGACGGGGTCCCTGGAAGTCCCGACCCGTTCCCCGGGACCGCTTTTTCATCCCGAATCCTTTCTTGACGCTCCCGAAGCCCGGCGAGGGCCCCCCGATGCCGAAGATTGCAAAAAAACCTCCCGTCCTGATTTTGTTCACGACGCGGTCATGTCTGGGCCTGTATTGAGCAGGGACCGACCGTCCCGGCATTCGTATAGTCCTACGACGAAATGTTCTTAGAACCCTAAAATGTCCTTAGAACAAAAACAAGGTTCTTAGAACATTAACCCGATGTGCTAAAACAGGACAGACTCCGCCAGAAGTGTTCCAAGAACATCACGTGGGAACCACAATGGGCTCTAAGAACACTGTTCGGTAGGGCTAGAGGCGAGCCAGGACGCTTCGCCACTGCTTGACTGTATCTCGATCGCACCGAAGGGGCGCAGCCCCGCCCGCCCCCTCCCCCTTGTGTCGGGAGCGGCCAAGAGGGGGGTGTCCAAGACGGAGGGGGGCCAATCATGACCGGCGCCATGTGCGCGGCCCAGCCGGGGGGCCAGGGACGTCATGAAATGAGTAGAGGCGCCATGAAATCTGGGGAAATACCATGGACCCCGCCATGATATCCCCCCCCCCCTTATCATCACCCCCCTCTTTTCCGCCCCCGAGTCCAGGGAGGCCTCGAGGCTTGTACCTCCTCCTCCTCCTCCTTCCTCCTCCTCCTCCTCCTCCTCCTCCTCCTTCCTCCTCCTCCTCCTCCTCCTCCTTCCTCCTCCTCCTCCTCCTCCTCCTCCTCCTCCTCCTCCTGCTCCTCCTCCTCCTCCTCCTCGCTGCCCCCCCTGTTCATCACCCCCCTCTTTTCCGCCCCCGATGGTGACGGGCCCGCCCGCGGCACCCTCGGAGGGGCGGCCCTCGCAGGACACCGCGCCGGAGGGCCTCTCCGGGGGCGGGGCACCGCCGCCCGCCGCGGGCGAGCAGGGGGGAGGGGGCGGGGGAGGGGGGAGGGCCTCCTCGTCCTCCTCGTCGTCCGCCACCTCCTCATCTGCCTCCTCCTCCTCCTCCTCCTCCTCCTCCTCCTCCTCCTCCTCCTCCTCATCCTCCGCCTCCTCCTCAGCTTCCTCCTCCGCTTCCTCCTCCGCTTCCTCCTCCGCTTCTTCCTCCGTTGCTTCCTCCTCCTGCTCCCCCTCCTCGTCCTCCTCCTCCTCAGCTTCCTTCTCCACTTCTGCCTCCTCCTCCTTCTTTTTCTCCTCCTCCTCCTCCTCCTCCTCCTCCTCCTCCCTCCTCTCTCTCATCATCATCATCATCATCATCATCATCATCATCATCATCATCATCATCATCATCATCATCATCATCATCATCATCATCCTCATCATCATCATCATCATCATCAGCAGCAGCAGCAGCAGCAGCATCAACAGAATCATCATCATCATCAGCATCATCACCATCATCATCACCATCATCATCACCAGTATCATCAGCAGCATCATCACCATCAGCAGTATCATCAGGATCTGCATCATCACCAGCAGCATCATCAGCATCATCATCATCAGCATCATCATCATCATCATCATCATCATCATCATCATCATCATCAGCATCATCATCATCAGCATCAGCATCGTCATCCTCATCCTCCTCTGCCTTCTGCTCATGATTCCCCCTTTTCCCTCCTCCCCCCCGCCCCCCTCCTCCTCACCGTCCTCCTCATCCTTCTTGGCGAACTACTCAGTGAAGCCTGCTACGCCTGAGTTGCGTTCAGCAATACAGGAAAAGGAGCTGAGGACGGTCTGCCCTTCCATCTCCCGCATGCCAGAAAAAGGGCTCGGTCGGCATCGTAATGCTCGCCTCGTGCGTGCACGGATCCCATGCCATCTTGCTCCTGCCGTGGTCAGCCGCCCTTCGCCAGCGCTTTCTGGGGCAACCCTGTCGGGACCCTGCACCAGCCGCGCCACGACCACGCGCCGGTGTTCCAGATTCTGGCGACCGCCTTGACCACTGGAGCGTCACGGAGGCCCAGCGCAGGCAACGAGCAGCTCCAGCGGACCACCGGTTCACAACAAAAAGATCCGCTCGGTAACACGTCACACATGTTCGGGGGCGGCCAAGAGTGGGGCGTCCAAGAGGGGGGGTGCAAATCATAGCAGGCGGCATGTGCGCGGCCCAGGGGGAGACCCAGGGATGTAATGAAATAAGAAGAGGCGCCATGAAATCTGGAAAATATCATGGCCCCCGCCATGACATCCACCCCCACCTAGTCATCACCCTCCTCTTTGCCGCACCGACATGTTCGAGGCAAGATGCTGCCGTGGCCCCCGGGCCTCCTCTCCCAGGCTGGCTGCGTCCTGCCCGGAATCCCGAGGGGAGCCCGGCCGTACGCGACGAGAGCCCCCCGGGAGGGCCAGAGAGGCCCAGAAGCTCTCGGGGGACCACGGGCCTCGCTCCTCGAGAAAGAAGCGCTGGCGGCGCGCACACCGGGGCAACGCGAAGCGGGCGGGGCTTCTGCGAAGGCAGGGGACCCTTAGAGGCCCTCCCAGCTTCCAGGATGCCTCGTCGGCACCTGCGGGACCTCCTGAGAAGCCCCCTGCCTTCCTAGAAGGCCCGCTGCCTGCCCGAAACCCGGAGATCCGACGTTGCAACCAGACATCGGCATCCCGAACAATCACGACCGGAGCACTGGACCCCACCGTTCTGCGGCATCTCCCGAGCGGGATCCATCTGTGGGGGGCCCGGGGCCTCGGACTGGGCGAAAGCCCCCCGCAGTGATCAAAACGCAACACCAGGATCTCAAGGAAGGCCGCCAAGAGCATGGGGGAACACGAGGGCAAGCGGCCACCAGGGGCCACCAGCAACGACGGCGACGGCAGCGGACGAAGACAGCGACGGCGACAACGATACGACAGGCGGCAGCAGGTGCAGGAGTAGCGGGAAGAGGAGGAGCGGTAGAAGGAGGAGGAGGAGGGGGAGGAGGAGGAGGAAGAGGAGGAGGAGAGGAGGAGGAGGAGGAGGAGGAGCAGCAGGAGGAGAGAGGAGGAGGAGGAGGAGGAGGAGGAGCGAAGAGGAGGAGAGGAGGAGGAGGAGGAGAAGGACGAGGAGGAGGAGGAGGAGGGGAGGAGGAGAGGGAGGAGGGGGAAGAGGAGGAAATGGATGATGAGGAGGAGGAGGAGGAGGGGAGGAGGAGGAGAAGAGGAGAAGAGGAGAAGAGAGGAGCCGGAAGAGGAGAAGAGGAGAAGGAAGAGGAGGCGAAGGAGCAGCAGCAGGAGGACAGTGACAGTAGGAGGAAGAAGAGGAAGGAGGAGGCGGAGGCGGAGAAAGGAGAGGAAGGAAGAAGAGGGCGGAGGCGGAGGAGGAGGAAGAGAGGGGGAGAGGAGGAGGAGGGAGGAGGAGGTTGGAATGGGAGGTGGAATGGGAGGAGGAGGCGGAGGAGGAGGAGAAGGTGGAGAAGGAGGACGGACGAGTAGGAGAAGGGGAGGAGGAGGCGGAGAAGGAGAGAAGGAGGAGAAGGAGGAGGAGAAGGAGGGGCAGGAGGAGGGGGGAGGAGCAGGAGGAGAGGAGGAGAGGAGGAGAGAGGAAGAGAGAAAGGATGGGGAGGAACACGGGGAAGATGAGGGGGAGGAGGAAAAAAGGAGGAGGAGACGGAGGAGGAGGAGAAGAAGGAGGAGGGGGGAGCAGGAGGGGCAGGAGGAGGAGGAGGAAGAGGAGGAGCAGGAGGAGCGGCAGTAGGAGGAGAGGAGCAGCAGCAGCAGCAGCAGGAGGAGTGGCAGTAGGAGAAGAGGAGGAGGACGAGGAGGAGGTGGGGGAGGAGGAGGAGGAGGAGGGAGAGGAGGAGGAGGAGGAGGAGGAGAGAGAGTAGGAGGGGAGGAGGAGGGAGGGAGGAAGAGGGGCAGGAGGAGGACGAGGAGAATGAGGAGGAGGAGGAGGAGGAGGAAAAGGAGGAGGAGGAGGAGGAGGGGCAGGAGGAAGAGGAGGAGGAGGAGGAAGAGGAGGAGGAGGAGCAGGAGGAGGAGGAGGAGGAGGAGAAAGAGGAGAAGGAGGAAGAGGAGGAGCGGCACTAGGAGGAAAGGGAGGAAAAGATGGAGGAGGAGGAGGAGCAGGAGGAGGAGGAGGAGGAGGAGACCTTTTGACCATGCAACCTTGGGCGTCCCCTGGTGGAACAGGGACCCCACTGCGTAGACACAAGCACCGCACAATACGCACACAAATGCAAATAAACGCCGCGTTGGCGAACATATGCAAATGCGAAAGCCAATTCTTCGCGCCGGGAAGTCCTCTCCCCCCAGGGAAAGGGCCGTCGGGACAATTCTTGGGGCAGCCCCAGCAATGGACCGTTTACCAATGTTCACGCGGGAAGGATCGCCCACTCTTCGGCGCGAGCCCCCGCGACAGTCGCGGCCAGACCTCGCGGCCCGCCTTGGGGGGGCCGACAGGCCCGCCTTTGAGGGGCCGAGAGGAGGGCACGGTCCCGCCAATGACTGGGCAACGTCGACACAATGGCGGCCGCAGGCCCCGCAGAACAGAACCCCTTTGAAACAAGCAAGGGTATGAGACGCGCGCGCGCGGGGGCACGCGGGATGAGCAAGAGCCGCTTCAGGACTGTTACGCAATGGTGGCCTCCCGACGCACCTCCCTGGCTTAAAATCAAAAAAATATTGCCCCTGTAGGCCCGGAACGTTTGTTGGCGCACCTTGCACCGTAAACGGCCTTTACGTTTGACCACCGAGTGGCCAGCCGCCCGAAGGCACAGACGACGCACAAAGTCGGTAGGCAACGCCCTCGGGCGAGGAGGCGGCCCACCAACCCGATCTGCATTATTGCGAGAGCAGGTGAGGCTGAATTCCCTGCTGACATCAAGCAACCGCAAAAGAACTTGGGAAGTTAACAAATCAACATCGGCAACAAACTTGACAGATTCGGGCTCGACCTCCCCGTTCGCAGCGGCCACTCCAGCGAAATAGTGAGCACATGCATTCAAAAACTGTTCCTGCTCAGACCAGCCGCAAACATCTCTCAAGAATACACTGGCATGGGCCTTCGTCTAGACCAGCTCCACCCAGCCCGATCTGCGATCCGTCTGGGCCCAGATCAGACACCACAGATCGAGCGTCGGGGGCGGTCGGACGAGAACGGTTCGGGGCCTCCTGAGGATCCGCACCAAGGGGAGGTAGTCCGAATGCGCCGCGATGTCGACAGTGGTGTGAACTAGCAGCTGGAGGAATGCGCACATCTCAGCACGCGGGCAGGACTGCTCGGGAGAATGATGCGCGCCACATGACGCCCCCATGAAATCTGAAATCGCCAGGAAGGCTAGCAATACCGAACTTGATAACTGCCCACCCACGCAGTCGAAGCCCCCAGCCCTTGGCCCACTTGCCCCCCGAGCCACCAAGGCCACGGGCTCCACCGCCAACAGTAACGCCACGCACCAAGACGCCCCAGGCGAAGACGAGGGATTTGACGGCGGAGGGATTTGATTGACGGCAGCCAACGGAGGAAGCCCACGGCCCCAGGAAGCACCGTTCGGACAAGCACGAGCGGCCCGAGCCCCAGGGATGAGAGGGGCCGACTGCAACATAGCACTGGATTCGATATCGGATTTGCACGGGCACTGCCACACCATGCGCACAACAGTCGATTGCCCTAGCGCGGGCAAACACCCAATGAAGGGTAGCCAGCCTGCCGAAGCCGCGCCCCGGGCCAGCATCCCCCCACAACGAGACAGCAAAGAAGAGCTGCATCTTGATGGGCGCCTGCAGACACTGACATCCCGTAGGACACCACGAAATCAACTCAGTCATCCAGACCAGCTCCACAATAATGGGACGCTGCCTTTCCCCAGAGTAACCTGGAAGCGGCTTGCTTCGCACATCCGTCCAAGGAAAACTCGAACCCGGGGGCCTCGAGGTTGAGCACGCCCGGGGAAGTAGCCCACC